ATTAGACCCAATTAATGAGCTAGGCCTAAATCAACCACAAGGCAGGTTAAGCCCAATTCATGGATTCGGCCCAGTCCAGAGTTCAAGGAGTCTAAAAGGATTAGAGTACGTGGGGAGCAATTATCGGGGTACTAACTATCGAAGATCAAGACAACCTTTAATTGTACTTAGCTTTTGAAGCTCCTCGAAGATCTAATACATTTACCCTCGTGTCACTGCCCTAATTAAGACTCTGTGCCTATAAATTGTATGTCTCTCTACGTGAGAGGACACCTCTCTACACACCCCACACATAGTTTTTCTCTCTCTCTCCTATCTATTGTATCGCTCATGGGGCTAACCATAGTGCTCTCTCTCTCTCTCTCGTCACCTTACTTAATCAATAAAAGGTTCCCCGACCACCGTTGTCGTTTTTTAGAGTAGAGAAAATCACCCGAATCGAACCACTATATATCTGTATGTTGATTCGATATTTACATTATTATCATTGATTGGTCTATTAACTGTTCATTAATTACATTTTATCACACACTCGACTGTTGATCTTGCATAAGACCGTTTTGTGCATTGTAAAAAATTATTATGCTATCAAAAAAATTATTTTCGATATTGTAAAAAAAAAAATTAATATTGTACGTTTACATTTTTTAACAAATAAAAACATATCATGTGTATATTTTTTATTTTTCAAATTTTTGTAAGTTTATTATTTTTTATTTAATAATTTAAAATTAATAATTAAAATTGATGAAAGTACAAATCAAAATCAATAGGTTAATCTTATAAATCTTGTAGTCACCCACTCAATTGGTTGTTCCTGTTTTTTGGATATGAATTTATCAATATACCATTAAACTTTCTTGTTTTTTACTTAAATCTATCATATAAAATAGGATATATTTCAATAAATCTCTTCGACGGTTTCAAATAGACTCATCTAACGACCACTAACATCCTTCTAAAAATTATTCACATTGTACCGTACTTTTAGGTACAAGTTATCCTTAATTTACACATCAAATAGAGCAAAATTGAATACTGTGCTTTAAATAAAAAATAGGTTTTTAGACACACAGACAAAGATGGAAAAGATCTTTAGATGAAATGTCACAAAATACAACTAACTAACAATTTTTGAACGTGGGTTGAAGCGCTTGACAAATGTCTCGTTATCTTATTATTATTGAGTGTCCAATTTATGAATATTGGGGGTGTCCATGGCCAGGTTATCTACAGGTCCCGTTACTCGATCCAAAAAAAATAGGTCCAAAATTCGATAAGCTTGATAGTTGACCTGCCCTAACTCGAACCCAATATCCTTAAAAAGAGGATTTTAGTTTGTTCACAAACCCCTTACCCCACTTAAAATTCAGCCTAATAGCTCGTCCGAAAAAACCTGTTAAAACCCGACCCAAGGGTCCACTTGTCAAGCCTAGCTCGCCTACCCTTCTTTAAAAAAAATTATATTTTTAAACCATTAAATTTAAAATTTTGAAATAAATCTCTCAATATCAGAATTTAAAATTTTAAAATTTTAGATATTATAAATAATGCATTATTTTATTTTTCATTTATTAAACATACAAGTTTTAAAGGGTAGAGTATTGTAATTGATAGATAAGTGAGTAGGTGTCAACCTAGTTGGGATGTATTCATTCTCTTAGATGTAATTTGTCCCTAATCAAAAATAAAAGTATTCATTATTTTTATTTTTATCCATTTGGATTCTACTTTTGATTCAAAAATATAATTTACGTAAATATTAAGTTATAAAAATATTGATTATTTTTAAATGAAGTTGTATATAAAAAAATCCGCAAGCGGGTGCGTTCGGAAGGCTCGCCCACAACCCTGCTTAATAGGCTTTCAAGTTGGGTTGCGAGTAACCTATCTTTATCCAAAGTTCGACCAGACTCGTCTGATAATTCACTTGGGTAAAAGTTTGGATCTACACTATCTAGTTCGACCCAAAAAATTTCACGGACCTGACCCAACTCAGCCCATGGACCTCTATATGGATATACAGATTTGTACCTAAGACCAGTTGTGGCATTCTATAAAATGAAGATATTATCGACAAAAATCTGTACGATTCTTGCTGTTGTATATGAATGGGACAGTGAAAATAAATGGACATATATTTTATTTGTAAGTCGGTGCACCACAATCAAAGACCCGTACACCCTTTTTGGGCAAGAGCCGCCCGCAATCACCAAATTTCTGAGAAAGAAAATAGAAAACACCAACTCCTTATTGCGTCAAACTGAATAGCACTTTTAAAAACCGATGGGCAAATCACACTGACACCCCTTACTGTTTCTAACATTTTCACTGCATCCCCTATTGTTTACACAATTACACTGACCTCCCTTAGATGTGATAGATTTTAATAGGTACCCCTTCAAGCAACAGATCGAAGGCCTGTCATGAAGTAAACAAATTTTTTGACTTAAACTTTCTATTTTGCTCTCAACTTAAAAAAATACCTATTAGAAAATAACTACACAAAAAGTCTATTATAAACATTGAACAACAGTAAACATTGTTATTTACAAAAAACATGAAATATTTTCAGCAATATAAAACCATTATTGAATTACACCTATGAAAATCGAATTAAGAACGTAAAATAATTTCATTTAATTTTAAAAACAAGGTAAAACATCACAACTAATTTAAATCAAAGCAATTAATCAACAAATAACATTGGATTTCAAAAACCATAGAACCATTGGCCATTTCTGTAGTGTTTAAATACATGTTAAAACATCACTAAAATTAATACCATTTAGTTAACTATCTGTCAAGGTATACAATTATCTTTAAATGGCAAAAATAAAAAAAAAAACCAAAGAAGCAAAAAAAATTACCATTGATTTCCTAAAATCGTAAAATTTCAATGACAAAAACTTAATGATTTTAGCCGTAAATTAACCTGAAAATCTTTTAAAGCAAAAAAGTAACTAACATTGAACCAAAAATATGGGTTTGAACCCCAAAACCAAACCTTAGAAAACATTGTTTGGATTTCTTCGTGCATGCCCTAAATAACCTCAAGAATCCATACAAAACATCATACATCCTATTAACCCTCCATTAAACAACAAATACCTTACTTCACTATTTACTTATCAAAGACCAAACACGAGTTAACACCGAATGCGAATATGGAGTTTAGGTGCAAATCTTACTTTTTAACACTTAAAGATTCAAAATTTTAGGCACAAAACTCTTGATTCTAGATCTCTTTTGGTGTTTAATGGTTTGTGTTTGTTGAAATTTGTGATGAGAAATTGAGTAGAATTGATTAATATAAACTAGGTCTTCAAACAAAAAAGAAAAAAATTAAAATAAGAGAGGACAAAATTGTAACTTTACGATAGTAGTCAAGGTCGTTTAAGTGATTACTCTGAAAAGGGAGGTTAGTGTAATTGTGTAAACAACAAGGGGTGCAGAGAAAATATCAAAATATAGTAAAAGGTGTTAGTATAATTTACCCATAACCGATTTTATCCACCATTCCATATACCGATGGAGTCAATATTTAATACATGGGACAACGCACCATTAATGCAAGGTGGTGTCACGATTTAATAGAAAATACAATATAGTATATATTTTTTTATATATTGAGTAATTATCAATCACATAGAGGACGGTTATTAATATAAATTAAATTTATTTATTTATTATTAAATAATAAAATTACGTAATAATAATAATATAATATCTTTATTATGCATATTTTATCGCGGCAAAGGTTCAATTCTAACCATAACTTGGACCAAGGACTCACTATCAACGAACCGAGTCTAACTAAGCCAACCACAACATTAATGGTTCAAGTCGAGCAATTTCTACTCACCCTCTCACACGTTGACAAGTCTATCAACCAACATTGCCATTCTAATTAAATAGTGAATGATTGAATATATTATAATATATTGAGAGTATAATACAAAAAATTTAATTTTTAAAGATATAAAATAAAAATGGTTAATTGTAAATTACACTCTGAAAGATTATTCGAATTTTAATTTGTACACTCAAAGATCAAAAATTTTAATTTACACCCTCAAAGATATAAATTTGTACCAATATGCACCCATAAAGATAAAAAATCTCAATTTATACCCTCAAAGATAAACATTTGTATCAATGTGTACCCCAAAAATAAAAAATCTCAATTTACACCCTCAAAAATATAAATTTGTATCAATGTGCACCTAAAACTAAATTGATAAATTATACCTAGATACCGTATGCTTGTTACTTAATCATTTGAACATCTTCACATTTAGAATATTACTCTTACATCTCATGACGTTTGTACACGTGTAACACATAACTCATTTTCGTTGATATCTGTTAATATAACCGTTAAAAAATATGATTTTATTATAATAAAAAATTATAATTTCATATTACCCTTTATTTTATAGGTCTAATATACTCTAAAATTCAAAATCAAACTTACCATACATCAACGAAAAAAGGTAATATGAAATTATAATTTTTTATTAGGATAAAATCATATTTTTTAACGTTTATATTAACAGATATCAACGAAAAATGGTTACGTGTTACACGTGTGCAAACGCTATGAAATGTGGGAGTAATTTTTTAAACATGAAGGGGTCCAAATGATTAAGTGACAAACATGAGGGGATCTAAGTATAATTTATCAATTTAATTTTAGATGCACATTGATACAAATTTCTATTTTTGAGGGTGTAAATTAAAATTTTTTATCTTTGGAGGTGCACATTGATACAAATTTCTATCTTTGAGGGTGTAAGTTGAGATTTTTTATCTTTGGAGTGCACATTGATATAAATTTCTATTTTTGTGAGTATAAATTAAAATTTTTGATCTTTAAAGATATAAATTAAAATTCAAACTCTTTTTCAAATACAACTTGCAATTAACCCAAATAAAAAATTCTTTTTAAGTGTAAAGCACAGTTAGCTCTATTTAATGTACAAACTTCTTTACTCACAGCCAGAGTCTCTCAACACGGAGTTCTTCCTCTCAGATCCAGAGCTCACTGTCACACGCTGTTCCATTGCCAAAATCTGATCCTTAATATAGTCGTGTGATATGTGATTTTTGTGAAGTTTTCCGTTCTTTTGATCATGTAGGTTTTTGATTCAGTCATGTTTCTTGGGTTCAAGATGGGTCAGAAGTGGTATATGCCAATGACAAGAAGGGTTCCAAGGAGGGTCTGGTTAGGGTTCCAAAAATCAATGGGCTTACTCGTGGGTGGTAATCACACTTCCTCCAGGTTTTGTTCTCGTTAATCACTTATAACCTTTAGTCTGTGTGGTTCAATTTCGATCTTTTTATCTGATTTTTGTGGTAAAAATCAAAGCTTTATCCACAATCCGGTTGCTCTACGGATCTGATATTCGAAAAGACACCTGAAAATCTATCGAAAGTTTGCGGAGAAAGTAGAACAATTTATATCCGAAATGGATCTTAAGGTCTTGAAATGGCAAATCCTACATGGGTCATTGGCCAGGCGTTTGCTTCTTAAAGCTTTCTTATTCTCATTGGCTATGCTAATTATTTCGTTTATCCAAATTGCCCAAGAGGTTCGCATAATTGAGCAACCCAGGTTGAATTTCGATGATTGCCCCTTGAATGTTCGCTCAAATGCTTATGTGAATCTCACCGGATTTTTCAAACCCGGATCTGCTTTGGCATTCCCTCTCTTCGGAGCGTCTTGGTTGGTACCTTGCAAAGAGAGTGAAAATTTGACTGTTGAAGTGTTTAAAGAGCTGATGGAGATGGATTTGTTGGATTCTGGTGCAAAAGTTCTATGTGTTGGGAAGGGGTCGGCCTATGATGTATTGGCATTGCGAGAATTGGGCTTATTCGATGCTTTTGGTGTTGATAGACACCCATTTTTCTCCCTATTCCGGAAACGTTTCGTGTATGAACTGGACTTCAAAGATGATTACTTTGATTTTGTGTTCTCTAGAGCTGTTGATAGGGTGTCCGTTCCAGCTCTTCTCTTGCTTGAGATTGAACGTGTTTTGAGGCCTGGTGGGGCTGGTGCTATGCTTGTGGGCTCCCGGAGCTTCTACACAAGCAACTTGATAAGGTCTGCAACTCCAGTTTCATCGTTCTTGAAAAGTTCCGATGTGGTTCATGTGTGCAGTATTGGTTCCTGTACTCTGGTAATTTTCAAGAAAAGGCTTCAGAGTGTCACTGCCCTTGAGCATTTCCGGCTTCCTCAAGAGTGCCCTTCGGTTGAAAACAACAAGCCTTTCATGAAGTACATCGAGCCTCTTGTAGATGAAAAAGCAGGACAACTTGAAACAGAGCTTTCATATCTGCCCAATTTCATGAATATTTCATCAAGAAATAGGTTAATATATGTCAATGTAGGTGCAGGGGAATTCACAAATTCCACTGTTGCAAAAATGTTTAAGCACTATTATCCTATCCACCCCCAAGCATTCAATGTTTTCGTCGTTGATCATGACCCTTCTGTGCTCTCTTCTTATGTGAAAAAAAACCCTCGTATCAACTTTGTTTACGACCCTAGTCTTGCAGGAGATAGTGTGACTGCCAGTCTCGACTCTGATGAATATTTGAGTGCACCACTGGATGAAGAAGTGTTTGACTTGGTTCGCTGGTTTAAAGAAACAATCAAAGATGGAGACTTTGTGGTCCTGATGATGAAAGCACGAGAGGTGGAGCTGAAATTTCTCTTGGAATTGTTCAAAACTGGAGCAATATGCCATGTTGATGAACTCTTCCTTCGTTGCACAGATGCTGTGGATTGCAAAAGTGCTACATGTGGAGACTGCATGAACCTCTTCAGGGTTCTCAGAAACAGTGGCGTCTTTGTCCATCAGTGGTTCGGAAACTGAATCCCTGTTGGCGAATTTCGTACCTTCTTGTCGGAGACTATCCCGATTATCGGGGAATAAATTGAGGTGTGGACGGAGATTGTTCTTGCAGTCTGCGGACTCGGCTCTGTTGAACTTTATTTGATCTTGTTTCATGTATGGACTTGTTTGTTCTAAGTTCCTCGTCTGGTTGTGTGGAGGAAACTTTATCTGTGCTTCAGTATTATGACAATTATGTAATAATTGCCTTTTTGGGCTTGTGTGCTTTCATACCTGTCTCCTACATGCTTGAGTTTGAGGTTGATAATCGAACAAGTTCAAACGCGGTTAAATTTGTTTTTTTTTAATTAGTTTAAAAGATTATTCAAGTTCAATTTGTTTATAAAAATAAGTCAAGCTTAAATGAAACCCAAAAAGAATCGAATTCGCGATTAGTCCGAATATTTACATATAAATGAGTTGAAATTGTCAAGTTCAAGTCAAGTCTATCAAGTTCGATTTCTACGTGAGTCTAAAAAATTGTTAGCCTAAAATAAGTTGAATTCAAATCAATTATTAATTACTACCGAAAAGCTCATCATAATCTTATGTTATGATCGGTAACCTATAAAGAATTGATAAAGCAAATATTAACATGGCATAAATTTGTCTTGTGTACTTTCACTAGCCAATTTAAATCGCCATGACATGTACATAAGCTCTTTCACTAGTCAACTTAAATTACGATTTGCCATTTTCAGCTAGATCGAAGTGAGACAGAGCAACCCTACGAAATAGTTTAAGTGATAATAAAAACAATCCCTAAAATCAAACATTTTGAGTTCAAATCTTAATAATCCACAAAAGTCGAGTCATAAAAAATTTATCCCTCATGAATACCTTGATCCCAACATAAATGACCTATAAAAAATTAGTCAAAGTACATACAAATTAACCCAAACACCTTTATCCATTGAACCAAAAATAAAAAAAGTGAGACAATGAAAAAATGAGACCAAAACTAGAAAAATATCTGCTCTCTTAGTCCCTCCTACATCGCTTCAAAGATTTCTAATAGGCATTCACCCCACTCTCTTGTAGGCACCAAATTTTCTTCTTCTCTCATGGTAACCAAAATTTTGGTCACGACCCATCCACTAAAAGATATTAACACTCCAAAACTTTTAATTTTATGTATACTACTTTAACATCCACTAAATATGAGTTCATTACACCGTAGTAACCCCTCAAGACATTTCTGAAAACGACTCAGGCTGTTGTCTTACGCAGGGGGCAGAAATATGCAGAGACCGGAGAGGAGGTATTAGGTTAGGGTAAAAGCAACTTGTGAGAAGTAGTTCATCCCAAGCCTAGTGGGTGAAGATCAACCAGGGATCTGGCATCTGCAAGTGGACTTATGAGCAGACCTCTAGGCCATTCTTGAGGGCTCCTGGTTCATGGGATAAGGACTTTGGCAAGGCAGTCCTTGAGTCTGATTCTGAACAGCATTGAAAGGAAAACAAGATACCTGAAATGAACAAGAAGGTTCGAAAAATGACATATAGAAGGCATCATCTTGATCCCCATCATGTACCTCTTCTGCATTTTCTCGGATCATGAGTTAGTGTCCACCAGCTCTTAGATCCTCTATTTCTAAATCTTTCCTTACATACCCTTTTTGTTTAGCTTTTACATGTTTACCTCATAGGTCAGAGTCAAAAACCCTAGCTACTGCAGGGGAAAAAAAAAAAAAACAAATCCAAGCGAGTTAAACAGTTCTGTTAGTATGCTTAAATAAGAGTATCGGCTTGGCTCTCATCAGATCCTACCATCTGCAACCGGTTACGTTTGCACCAACACAGATAGTGCGGAATAGGTCCATCTTCTCCAATGACCCACGCATGCTCTGCAACAGCCTCAAGAGTCATCCTGTGTATTGGGTCTGCACAATACAAACTTGTGAGGAAAAAAAATAGAAATAAAAGAAACATAATGACAACAGTTATGAGCTACCAGCAGACAAGAAAAGATACTATTTCAGAAGTTCCATCACAATCAGCTGGAAAAAAGATAGATTTCAATGATTATATACAGAGACTAACCTTTGCAGAGAAGCCCCTCAAGCACATTCTTCAGTAAGGGGTTCATACCATCAGGGAGAGACAAAGGATTATTAACAATCTAGGGAACACAAAACAACTCCATTTAGACAAAGAAACAAAAGATGGAGGGATGGGGGAAGGGAGGGACCCCAGTTGTATCAGCGAAAGTGGTACCAGCGAAAGAAGTTAAGAAAACAACTAGAGCAACCCACAGACCTTGTCATATGTATCCTGCAGTGTGTCTCCAAGAAAGGGGTATTGTCCAAACACCAGACAGTACAAGGTAACTCCAACTGCCCACGTGTCAGCAGCTTTGCCACGATAGGTTAAGCCTGTTATGCAGAATGAAATCCACATACCAAGATGCAGTTATTATTAAATAGCCCTCAAGAACCGAGCTCAAATAATAAAATTTCCAAAAGAAAGTGATATTTAACCTAAACAGCACTCAGGTGCAGTAAAAACAGGGGTCCCCGGAGAGCGGCGAAGCTCATCATTATCATCCTAAAAATAACATTTCAAAAGAAGTTCAGGACAATCAAGAATCACAGTCTAGCAACTATTAAGGACAATCAAGAATCACAGTCCAGCAACTACTAAATGAAACAACAAACTGAAAAAAGTTGGAAACAAACCAAAACAGAAGCTTCATTGACGACTAGCACACAGAACCACAATGATAAAATATTCATGGCTTATCTCGAGGATGCAATGAAGACACTTCTACATGAAGCTAAACTTTTCTTTAAAAAAAATCCAAGCTTTTGTCATGAGCGCATTAAATTCCAAACACGATATACTAACTCCATTTTGCAAAAATCTAAAGAACTCGAAACTAAAAACAATTTGGCTAGCATTATAGGGCAACCCAAACTCAATCAAGGGAACATTCTGCCATCAGAGAAACAGAAGTAATTAATCTTTTATTAAGATCCACGAAATGGATATGCAGCAAGACCCTACTTTTAGGTTTGGTCGTATCAATTGGATCGACTGGGATTCTGGAGACAAGAGGTCCCCTAGACACTTGAAGAAGAAAATGGGCACATAATGGCAAAAATCTACAAGCAAAAGAAAAAAAAAGCCTTCACTCCTTCCTACTAACACTTCTTTCCTGAATCAAAATCTGTGTAGCCTTTGCTTTCTCTTGTTCTTATCAGTACAGTGAAATCATAAGCTAATTCCAGAACCTTATCCACAGATTTTCTGAAATGTCAAAATTGAGCTGAATTCTAAAGTTGAAGCTCAGTTCAAAAGCCTCAACAATGACAGTATGAATTATTGTTTCGAATAACACGATATATAACCCAGAGTGCCCAAAACTATGCAATAATGTGGTCTTTCTCCCTTTCAACCCTGCTTTTCATGCTGATCAACCAATTAAAATGCGAGCACATGCGCACGAGAGAGAGAAGATATATTTCACAATTACATATCCCATGCTTTATCATTCATTGAAAGATAATTCTAGATTCACGACTTTTTGTCCGAATATAGTTGAAGCAGCTCATTACCTCAAAAACCTGGCTGACGCTGAAATCACCAATCTTCACTACGCCAGTACTAGTAACCAAAAGGTTATCAGGTTTAATGTCCCCATGCACTATATTCTGTTGTCGGAGGAAAAAGGAAGAAATTAACATTTATATCATGTCAATGCACTCAGAAAAGGCAATTATATCAAATCCATGATTTGTATTCAAGTTAAGCTAAGCATAAGAAATGATAAAAAAAAAGCATCACTCATTTCAGGCACTTAAGTCCACATTTTACAAGGTCAACTTCTGTTGTTTCTCTGCATTTATACATGCATGATAGGGATATTTTATGATAGAGCAGCTGTAATAGCACAATTCTGAAGTTCCAATCTTCACCAAAACGATGAATTAATCATGCATCAACCAACACTAACAACCAGCAAACTACCAAAACAGCATTTGATGATACACTGCAAGACAACTTCAAAGTTCAAACAGAAGCGACCATACTCATCATGTGCCACAAATAGGAAACAACTATAGAGTGGAGAGGTAAGCACATAAGAAAATCTCAAAAACCAATCCTAGCATACTTGTAATAAGTACATTGATAAAGGATGCTATAAACAAGTGACGAAAGCAAAGGTACTGCTTCATTATTCAAGATAGCTAAACCAGCTATTGCCTTAACATTTACAAAAGAAAACTGCTATCACCTAGATACATTCTTCTGATTCAGATGGCAAAAGGTATTTGATCAACCATGGAATAGATGCCAAAATTTAGGACCCATAGAAATTTCTCATTTCATCATGTAGTATGTCTTTTATGAGAAGATCCACTTCTCAGTAAAATTAAAATCCCAAAGTAAGAAATGACACTTAATTTCTGTAGAGTTAAAGCATAAGAAGAGGGGACAATATCCTCTGAGGCAGGACAGTGGAACCATCTGTATGTATGAGCCACATGCCATTATAATTTATTTTCATTAGCATGGGAATTATCTGAAAACTCATTTCCCACTCTCCCACTCTTCCATTAATAACTAGCCATTAGAAATGTAACAAATATGTTTGGTTTCAGAAAATCCTGAAAGGCAGCAGAAGTACCACACAAAACAATATTACCAAATAAATGGTTTGAATCTGCATTAAATCAATGCATCAGGCAACAGTTCATTATATTATATAATTTAAGCCCTAGTCAGAGAAATAATCCACTGCTTATTATGTCAGGATCCACATTAACTAAGATAATCAAATAGAAAAAATAATGTATATGGGCATAACTCAATAGGCGAAAATGTTATAAGAGGCCCTATAAATATTTATTCAGTAATAATAGTAATATTAAATAGTTATCAAAATATTAAAATATGTTTATTTAAAAATCATTTGTTTTGTTGTTTGAGATACAACATTACAACATACTAATTAAAATTTCAAATTCAAATTCTGCAAATAAAAATTGCGTCAATCAAAGTCAAATACGGAGATCAAATGTAATGATACATGCTATTTGTTTAAGATAAAAAGAAAAATAATTGAAAATTAGTTTAACTTACAAGATGAATTTTTTTGAATGAACATAAAAATAAAAATTTATACAAGTTGAGTGGTCTAGTGGTCCTAAAATAAATGAGACATTGCTAGATATTATAGTGAAACATGACTATTTTTAAATAAGAAAATTTAATAAGACAACTATGGTTAATTAATTTCACACTATATTACCTCTACTCACTTTATTTTATAGTCATCATGTGAATTGTAAATAAAGTAATTAAAAAAAGGCCTCAAATTTAATTTATATAAATTTAAAATTATTATTCATACCTATTATACGATAGACAATTGATTTTACTAATAAAATTGCAATGCGATAATACATATAAAATAAACATCGGATGAGATAAAAAATTAGGTTGAACTCTAGGTCCCTAAATTTTTTTAAAAGAGGTTTTAAAAATTTTACAATAATGTTACTTGTACTTAATTTGAGGACCAAATACATTGGATAAATAGTGAATTTTATTTAAAGCTAGCACTCCCTACTAATTCAATAGTTAAAATGTATTGAGTATTTAAATTATATCCTAAAATTTAGATTGTATACCATTGTTTACAATTTTATTTTTGGGCCCCATATTTTTCTTCCAATTTGGGGGTCCTACGCAATGATCTTAGAGGCCTATAAGTTGAGTAGGCACTGACTTGAATATAAGTAACCACCCATTAAGGATGCACAAGCCAGCACAACTGTTGTACAAATCAATATGACTATTAGTAGTCCCAATCTGCAGTTAAATAAATAAATAAGGCAATAGTTTGTTATATTTATAATCTCAGAATATCTCACAAAGTAAAACCTAGTATAAGTGATGTCAGGAACAACAAACACTGCCTAACAACATTAAAAAGAAAAAGGCTATGCGTGGATCATGAGTGAGGGAGTAAATAATAAAATAATTAAGAGCCATTTTCTTAGAAACCAGTTAATTTTCATAGCAAAAGACAAAAATTAGTTTCTTTTGTAAATAATAGTACACAAAAATTACATAACAAAATGGCAGATGGTGGTAAGTCAGCAACATAAACCTGCAGTAAAGAAAGGGGTACATTGAGTAAAATTAAAAAAAACAAGATTACTGAAGTCATACATGAGCATGGAGATACATCAAGCCAGAGACTATATTCCGCAAGTACTTTCGTGCGGTATTTTCTCCCAGGCCACCTGGTGGACCAGAACCCTCACAAACCCATTTGCCTTCCACATATTCAAGAACTGGAAAGAAAAACAAAAAGGAAAAAGGTGTTTGTAGCCAAAAAGAAAGGGAAAGGAAAAATGTGAACTTTCTTATTCTTCAAAGATACATGTAGTGAAAATGTAAGATGGGCACAATATATTCAAACAAACACATGATGCGAATGAAGAACACAAATTAGAGAGATGGAGAGAGGAATGAAAAAGAAAGTGGTAAAGAATACCCATGTAGAAATGATCTGTGGTTGGGTCGTCAATCACCTCGATGAGATTAACTATATTGGGGTGATCCAACATCTTCATGATTAAAACCTACAAACCAAAAGAATTGACGCGGTAAGCTTTGAATCAAGAATCAATGGATCGAATTTACTGGACTAAAATATCATGCAATTTGCATGAACAACAAAATAACCAAGTGTGGGGGTCATCTCAAACCCTTCTGAATGTCACATTATCAAAATTTAGAAATCTTTGTCGAACAGAGCCTGAAGCAGCACTGACAAAGCTACAAGCTAATTTATGACTGACAGTTAAAAGGAATGCCATGATATAAATATGGAGACGATAAGGTGTATACATCTGATGTAACCTGGTATAAACATCTAAGTAGATTAGAAAGAGACTATGACCACAGTGGATATTCTGCTACATCGCAACTAGATCAAGTACCAATACAAGGATAGTGATAAATACCTCACGAAGAACATCGGTCATAGCAGTCTCTGAAGGTGCAACCCGCAATTTTGACAAATGAGACTTGTGAAAGGCCTACATCCAAAAGTTGAACACAATCAATTATCCAGTGAAATCTCCACTTGGTATTGGCTTGTAACTTTTTCAATGATGTTCAATTTATCAATCATATCTCCTTAAGTACAGGCAAAGCAATTGCAAGATTCCTACTTCAAATCAAAACGCTGCAAAAAATTCCTCATAGGTGTTTAAGAATCTATGGAAAAATAACTGCTCGAGTGTGATACTTGTTTATTCCATTGTCTTTTCCAAAGTTCAGCTCATCATTATTTGAAATGTCACTCTACAATAAAGCCAAAGTCAAATAGGAACAAGTATGACAAAGCCTGTGCTGATAAACCAGCCTATTCATGCTCCATAGGCAATCATAAAGCAAAACTGATCTGACAAAGCTAAAAGGCACATTTCTTTTTAAGCAACAAAAAAAAGAGTAAAAAAGGGGGACAGATCACACCAATTGCTTTTCTGCAACAAACAAACTTTCTGAACCACGTAGCAACAAGAAACTGACAACAACAAGAGCACAATTCTAGAAAATTCATGTCTCTACATGATGAGAAAGTCTACCTTAATTGCATAATGCTTTCCATCAACATGGCTTCGGTAAAGAACCTGTTGCATTGGAAAGACTGTAAGACTAGGGGATGAATCCCTTTAAGCAAGTAAACCATATCATATCAAAACAATGAACTTACCACTTTTCCATAACTACCAGAACCAATCTTCCACTCCCGTACATACTCATTAACCATCTTGTTCCCGTTCTCATCCTGATAGTAATTAACAATATTCATAAAGATCATTAATCAATAGTTAATGTACTGATAGTCTAATTCATGTATACGTATTTTCTTCTAAACATACAAATCGCGTTAGTCTCTGTGAAGCAGCCCATAAAAGGCTCAATAAGGAGCAAACTAAAAGAAGGCAAATTATATGCAATGTGTTTAATTTAATGAGAGAACTTGAACAATTTTGTTTCCTATGAGATCGCTACTCGAGAACTCAAGAGTCAGAAGTCAGGCATAAGTTACAAGAATTTAGAGAAACAATAACATGAAAAAAAGACAGGAACAAACCCATCATAATTAACAACAATTTCATTGCAATAAAACAGAACGCATGATCATGTCACACCACAAGGGAGGAAAATGGTCCGGATGGCTGAAGGCTGTTTGATGTTCAAAGACTAAAATTAACAGTAAATGCTACAAACTTTAACAGTAAAATTATTCAGTAAGCAACAAATGCTAGAGGCCAAACTTCATTTCAGAAAATACCTCTGAGCGAATGACTTTGTGGGTTTCCTTGACAGGAAATTCCCTGCAAATCAATCCATTTTGAGTTCTGTACATGAGGATCCGTTCAGAACGTTTGGCAGGACTTTGCACCTCATCATCATCATCCCTGAACCAGTATCAGTTACATCACCATTGTAGGAACAATTATCCTCCTCTTCTAGTTCTGCATTTAATAGACACTCTTGTGACATATGATTCCCCATGCCAATATTGAGCCTCACTAACTTTTGGGGTTTTCTTGCGAATGAGAATCCAAAACAACCACAACAGCCCATCTCCGTCACTCTTGCAATGGAAGGTCTCTTAATAAATGTTAGATGATCAATTCTTGTGTGCCAGTTTACAATCCTACAGAAACAATTAACCACCTCGATCCCAGAACCTAAAAACAGCGTATCTTCAGTTTAATAGTAACCTTCAACTAGGTAACTCAAATCAGAGTTATGCAAGCTATTAATGAGAAATTTGTCATTATGCCATGAATAGTAAATGGTTGCTCTGTTTTCCATCTTTTGCACACTAAAATACAGCAAACCAAATTTGGCTGGACATACACACGCACATAAAATGATACAAACAAATCTTTAAAAATGGAGTTGTTGTTCATGCTAACCTTGTATATAAAAGGAAAAAAGTGGGCTTGTCAGGGCCCAATCGGCTTTGCTATTCCAAGGGATGCCACTCAGCAAAGTGAAAGAAGCAGTTGATCAGATTGATACCATTACCGTTCAACGCCAACATCGCGAGAACACCCCCTGAGGCGACTCTTCCTCAAATAGCACAACCCAACAAAACAACACCTTGACCTTTTCCACCAATAAACAATAATAAATTAGATTAAAAAATAAATCAATAGAAATAAACAAACCAAAATTAAATATTACGGGTTTTTAAACTAAAGAAAAATTTGCAGCTAGAACTTTCAGACGACGAAAGCACACCAGGAATGACAATGATGTGTTGAAAATTGAGCCTCTATCACTAACAGTACAAACCAATCGAACACTGAATTTCACCAGGCCTTTTATTCACAGACAGGCGCCATTGGGAAACCCTAGCTCCGATTTCAACGGACGATTCGAGACGTATTGAAGTATTTCACACGAAAATCATTACCAAAACTACTAAATAAATAAATAGGTGAAAATTAGGGGATTTCAAAAACAGCTGGGATGGAAAAAAACCTCAAATCCGACTTGACGGAGTCCGGAAGAGGAGATTCAGGAGAGAGAGAGACCTAGATACGGGGAATAGGAGCTTTTGAATGCCATTCGTTTTTGATCGAACTGTTGATAATTGTAGCTATGCGTAAGTCCGAAGCAAAAGGCAAGGCGCTGAAGGCAGAGAATCAGATTTTTGCCAAATGAAGAACAGAGAGAAGCTAATTGACGCCCCGGTGGTTGTACATTCACATAACAACATTGGAGTGAATTTGGGGACAGCAATGTTACCTGTATAATTTATTAATCTAATTTATTATATTTTTTAAATTAATTATAAATTTTATTAAATATTAAAATTTTATATTAATCTAATAATATGATGAAATTATATTATTAAATAAATAAATTCAATCAAAATTTTAAGTTTAAATAAAGAATAATGCTATTTGGATCTAAAAATTTAGCATTATTTATTGACATAATGATGTGACTTTATAAAAATTATTAGATCAACATCAAGTTCCAATGTTTGATAAACCTACAGTCAATCTAAAGATTACGGTGAATTAGATCAGCAAATTATGTTAGTCAATTAGGTCTCCATAACAATACTCTTAAATAAATAACATTACTCATAAGCTAGAATTAAGGGTTAATAGAGTCGGGATATTTTTGAGAATATGCTCCAGCTCGACTTGGTTTTGATTATACAAGTCAATCTCAAGTCGAACTCAAGTTAAGTTGTCATAAGCTTGTCCAATTTTCCTTTATAAAATCTCTCAAAATTATTTTAACATAAATTTGAGGTTGCTCAATTTTCCAAGTAAGGATTATTTGGCTATAAAATTAGAATTACTCATTGACGGTAATCTATTCAAATAAAGTCACACTTTGCTCAAGTTTGCCTGTTTTATAAAAGGATAATAAAAATTGGTTACCTTCCATTTATTTTAGAATTATAAATATTTTGTATGAACCTAGACATAATCATGGCCGAGTTAAAGTCAAGGGGATTGTTTGTTTAATGGGTTTGAACGAGTTTAAAAAGGTGAGTTTGAAAAAAATAATTTGATAGACAACTTAATTTTATGTTTGGTTAAAATTTTTAAATTTGGGATTCATTTCTCGGCTTGTAATCGGCCCAAAAAATTAAACACATAAATATGGGTTCCAACAAATTGATGGGGGAGTTTGAAATCAACTAACTAATAATATAATGACAAAATGATTGGAAAAGATTTATGTATGAATCTCATGTAAAAAAAAGGCTTTAGGTTTGCAACGGTTTGCTAAAAATAATCCAATTTCTTTATTCTAAAACCATCCAAACATGCCCGTTGAATTGCAAGCTAGACTCTCTAGACTCGCGATGCACAACATGAGTGGCTAAATGTGTAATATGAGGATGATTAGGGTGTTTACAAGAATAGGAGTGGCTAAATATGTAATATGAGGATGATTAGAGTGTTTACAAGAATAATGGGGAAATTTGATGAGGCAAAATTAATATCCTTTTTTCCAAATTGTTTCTCAAAACTAAGATGATTTAAGTGAAAATTGGGGCTGAATTTTTTTAGATGGACTAATAATGATTTGAGTTCGTTAAAAAAAAAATTTTGGGGTAAGTCTATTTTTAATCTTATTAGTAAGTAGTTAAGTCCACTTTTTTTTTGTTTTTTTAATCTCAGAAATATCCCCAACAATGTTAGTTTTGATTAGTTATGTAAAACTAAAGACATTAGTTGCAATGAGATATATATGGAAACCGGTAATTGAATATAAAAATGCTTGATTTATGACAGTGTATTACAAATTTTCTTTAATAATTCAAATTTAAAATTTTTGTCATTATTTGTTTTATTATACATTTTTGAATATTAGGCTTTTTAGTTTTTGAGGGTGTTTTGAAGATGATAAAAGTTGAAGTTGGAGTTCGATGTTTTTTGCAGTCAAAGTACGAGTATGAGTGCGAAATCTTGAAGCTGGAGTTCGAGTTCGACTTACTATTTATTGGAGTTTGGGCTGGTCTTGACTTCGTATTTTGGAACAATTTTTTATTCAAATTTCTTGAGATATTCATTGTAATTGATTGTTTTATCTTTTATGAATAAAACAAAAAAATCTACTACTAATAATAGTATTATATTTGCGATTGTCATAATTTTAATGTTACTTGTTAGAATTTCTATTGCAACGAACTTTACGATCCTCTGAAAATTCAAGATTTTGGGGTGATTTGAAAGTTGAAGTTAGAATTCGAGATTTTGCAGTTGGACTCTAAATTTGAGTTTGAGATTTTGAAACTAGAGTACAATTTCAAGTCACTATTTGTTTGGCGTTTCTCATGTTATTGATTGAGAATATCACAACCATCTAGTGTAATAAGTTATCAATCTAGTATTTATCTCTCATGGACCAGATTTGAGTCATATTATTATTAATGTTACTGAATATGTTATTATTAATGTTACTGCTAATATTACTATTTATGTCCTAAAATAAGCATTAACCAATCGTGTAACAATATTACAAACTCATTGAAAAATGTAACATTAAAATAAATTTTCTTAAATCAGGTGATTTCTTAAATAAGAACAAATTTAAGTCATGTTACTTTTTGAACTGACAATCTGGACAGAGTTTCATCTGTTTTTCAAACAAATATATACAAATAAAATACAACCCTACATCATATCACTTCTACATAAAACACCATATCAGCCTTCTAAAATTAAATGGTTCACTAAGTTGGAACATATTTAATCATGTTACTATTTCATCACAGTAACATCAACGTTTTTCCACAATAACACAATGAAGTAATTTTCGATTTTTTTTCCGAATAAACGATTCATAAATGGAAAAACTATATCGTTTAATTTAATAACACTGAATCGTACATTGAAATTAGAAAAACAAAAAACAATGAAAATTTTAAAAATTAGAATATGTAGAAGATGTTCTAAGACCCTATAATGAACAACAACTTCTTCAATAGATTCCATAGCAAACTAGAGAAACAAATTGATTATGATATTAACTGAATGAATTTAGTTTAAAATTTAAATTTGAATGATTTTTGAAAAATTTCGGTTACATGTTTGTCGGAGAAGGAAACATCGTGATAGGAAAAATCTTTATCAGATTTGTAGGTGTTATCGAATTTAAAGGCACTGGTTGTTGGAGGAGTCAATTGTTTTCATTTGTGAAAATGTTTCCTTAAACGTTGTTTACTTCACTTCTAAAAGAAAATGACAGTTTGGTAAAATTGATAAAAAATGGATTTCATAACAAATAAGTATTCTTGTCGAACTTATCTTCAAATAAGTCCATAAAGAGGGACTGACCTTCAAAATTCTCATGATTTAACCTAATGAACACAAGTAGAGGGCTTGACCAGTAAAGCATGTGAAAATTTATGGATCTCATGTACTCCTGATAATTTCAAGGAAAATTTAGAGTTCGGTCCATATTTTGGGATTTATTGAGCTTTAAGTTCATTCTTAAAATTATGTTGGGTTTAAGGACATTTGTAGAGCAATTGTAAAATTACCCTTAACCCCTTATTTCCCTTGTAGAAGAAACAAAATAACAGTTGATTTTATCGAAACTCAACCTAATATGTAAGTGAAAAATAGCAATATTTAAAACAAAAAATAAAAACATTTAAAACAAAAAACATTAACATTGAACATAATAGTAATATGATACAATAACAAGAATATAATAGTGAAAAAAATAATAATATTCAAAACAAAAGAGAGTAAAATTTAACATTATAGGGACATAAATAATAACGTCAACACAATGATGATAAAAAAATAATAACTCAACACCATGGTGATAAAAAAATAATAACATTTAAAACCAATCGACATTACCATGTGAATGTTATATAAATTGGGTTTATTATGTTTTGTTACTAATTAATGTTACTATTTGTATATTTGCATTATTTTCCCTATATGTACTTTGGTGTTCTCTCTCCAGATCCAATGGATTTTCTTGGCCATTGTTTTTAGAAATTGCAATGTAACCTTATTTTTGGCATTTCATCAAGCACTTAAAGCTCTTACCAAATTGAAGCAAACTTTTAAATCTGAATCAATCTGCAACACTACAATACCACAAAAACATCAAATAGAAAACAGTAAGAATTGATTCAAATCATCATTAAAAAAATTGTTTTATTCAGAACACAACTCAAAAAACATAAAAAAAATTGGATCAAAATGAGTGCTTCAAAAATTAGATTGTTCTCAAATTTCAAAAACCAAAGTGCCAATCCTCTCGGGCTTGAAGGAGCTCGCGTTTCAAATTTTGAACTCGTCCTTGACATACTCATCTTGTATGTCAATGAAGTCAAGCTAGTGTTGGAGTTGGAGGAATTTGAAGCGTCCATACAAATCATCGTCATTGGACGTCAAAAAAGATTGGTCGATGTGCAAGTCGATCGATGGACCTTTTTTTTAGGCTCAACAACATGGAGCTTTCTTAGCTTCTCTAGCCATGGATTAACATCAAGAGATTTTTCAATAAATTCTTTAGATATAAATGTTTTGTGTAGAAAAATGAACCAAGAATGTGTGTTGGATTTGAGAGGGTTTGATTTTTGGTTTTGAACAGGTTTTGAAGTTAAAAGTGGAGAGATTATTGGAGGAAGAATGTGACTTGCACTTGACATACATTAAAGATAAAGGATAAGAAATCACATTTGTAGAACCATGTAAAGGGTAAAACAGTAATAAAAAATTGAAGTACACTTAAACCCATAAAAATTGTCAGTATTATATATTTAAAACCAAATAAGTTTAAGACGTGTATTTAAAACTTTAAGATTCTCTCGTATTGAACTGACCTCCAATTTTTTTAAATTTCAAAAATAATATTTGAAATAGACATGAAATTAATAAATTTGAGTTTAATATGATTAGGAAATGAGTAAAGTTAAACTTACCAAAAAAGGAGAGAAAAAATAAAGACTAAATAATGTTGTTTGTTTCATTTTTTATAGATTTGAAATTCAAATTTCACCCATTATGAGAATGTCACGTCAATTGATCTACATTTTTAATTATTTTTTTTAATTATTGTAGCACTACTTTTAGAAAATAGGTAAACTAGTTAGAATGGCTCAATTAATCAATCCACAATAAATCATGAATTGGGGTATGGGGGCTATGTATGAATTGAGAAAAAAATTAAATAAATTTTAATATAATAGAAGATAAAATTCATGTTTAACACGCACCAAGACGAGACGGGATGGGACGGGAGAAGCCCTAGACAATTGTTTTTCCGTAGCTCAACTTTGTGGCGGCCAACCAAGAACAGAACACATGCTTGCGGCTTGAACCACATTCGGAGGATTAAAACTTGCAATAGTTTCCACCCACAGTGTTGTGATGCAGAGTCTGACACGACACTGATGAGTCTTCTTTTAAGCATAAAATACTACTACTACTACTAAAATGCGTTGCCATGCCTTTAGGGTGTGGCCAGACTGACTTCGATTTTTGAATGCCTTTTGTGAGAGAAAGCGATGGCGGTCGGCGTTCTCGCCTTACAGGGATCTTTCAATGAACATATTGCAGGTTCCATCTCTCTCTCTCTCTCTCTATATATATATATATGTTTATATGTGTACAGAGGAATTGAATCTGAATGACTGTGTGTGTGGATGTGTTCTTTTTGGCAGCGTTGAGAAGACTAGGAGTGAAGGGCGTACAGATAAGGAAGCCTGAGCAGCTTCACAGCGTGACCTCCCTCATCATCCCTGGCGGAGAGAGCACCACCATGGCCAAGCTCGCCGAGTACCACAACCTGGTTCGGTTCTCTGTGTGTGTGTGTGTGGCGCACATAAACACATGCGCACGCAGTCACAATATATGTTTTATTCCTATGAATGATATGTTTTGTTGGAATTTGGTTAAGAATCTACATGCAATCCTATTGTTCACCAGTTGGTTCATGAGGAATTGAACATATTTGTGAATTTGATGTCCATTTGGTGTCTGAGGAATACAATCAGTTGTCCGTTTTCCTTTTGGTTGTTGATACTTGGTACATAATAAATATAATATACTTATTAGCGTTATTGCTATGAATATGAAAGCCCCGGTTGTGTGGAAAGTTTGTAGCTTTTATGTCCCAAGAAATGAAAGTTTTCAAGACATAGACTGTAAGATTTTCTTTTCTCAAACATTATCGCTAGTCAAAAGAACAATTTATATCATTATATTTATTGTAATTATATATGCAGTTTCCTGCTCTACGTGAGTTTGTCAAATTGGGGAAGCCCGTTTGGGGGACATGTGCGGGGCTTATTTTTCTGGCAGACAAGGCAAGCGGTGAGTTTTCATATCCACCCATGTTGTCTTACAGTGATTTAAGGGTATCATAGCTCATATTTTGGACAATAGCACTCTCGTGTTTGTGACAATGGGGGAAAAGAAACACTCAATATTGTTTTGAATTGCATTTTGTGGCACTCCTTTCAGGACAGAAAACTGGAGGCCAGGAACTGATTGGGGGCCTTGATTGTACAGTCCATCGAAACTTCTTTGGCAGTCAGGTAATTCTCACTGTTAAACTTACAAGCTAATTCTTTGGCAGTCAGGTAATCCTGTCCTCAAGCTTTTTAATAATTAAAGGATGATAAAGTTCAACACATTGCTTGCATAAATAGTTGCATTGTTATGGTTATCACTGTCAAGCTGATGTTGAGAATGGTTTGCGGCCAGATATTGCAAAATTGGAATACTAAAGTTTGTGGTCACAGTACTACATTTTCATCATATAGAAGCATACAATTTATAGAATATTCCAAACCATGAGGCATGAGTGCAGATACTTTATTCCCGGTGGCTCCTCCCCTGGCTTTTCTGTTGGTGCATAACTTTATTAGATAAATGATGTGAAATGCTTCTTTAGCTAAAACTATAGAAGAGGTTTGCTCATAGCATTAGGCATGTACAAGCATCATATGGTCTTCATTTGGTTTGTTTAAAAGTTGTTTCTAAACATAAATCCGATCATGGGCAACTCATCTTTTATGAGCTTGCGATAGTGATGATATGGTAGTCAAGACTTTTGTTCCCACTGATCTCTTGTGGGTCCTTTGACCAAGTTGTTTAAAACATAATATCCTTACAGCTCCAAAGCTTTGAGGCAGAGCTTTCAGTGCCTGAGATCGCAGCTAAAGAAGGTGGTCCTCCAACTTTTCGAGGAGTTTTCATTCGTGCTCCTGCAATCCTTGATGTTGGATCAGACGTTGAAGTGCTGGCTGATATCTGCATCCAGTCTGACAAAACTTCTGACTTGGATTCTGCTCTGGAAAGCCAAAAGGTCTGCTTTTAGCTTGTCCTAGTGGAAATTGTTTACTTCCATTATCTTGTCTATGATTCTATTATTCAGAACATTACTGAAGTTCTACATTTTGTTTTGGGTAAATGCAAAAAAGTAAATTTTATGTAATTTTTATGATGACAAGTTTTACATGGCTGAGTCTGTTGCTATTCAAGTACTTATTCATGCTCTATCCGATCTGTGTGTCTACTTATTGTTTCTGTCATTTCATTCTTTTCCTCAACATGTTTAACAGAATTTTCATGTGAATCAAGGTTAGATGTGATCAAACTGTATAATTTTCAAGTGACAAGATTCATTTAGTTTCACAAACTTGTAAGTAGGTGGCATTTTTGTAACGTAGTACATATATATTGTAATGTAGTACATTTATACATTTCAACTTCTTCAAGCTTCAGAAGAGCTATAGGTAATCTAGAAGGAACCATAATTTTTTTTTTCCCGGGCAAGTAAACCATAAATCGTTGTAAAACAAATTTGTTTTTTTTTTCTTGTTTTTGTGGGGTGGGGTTGGGGTCCCATGCTCAGTTTGTGGATCACGGTCTCACACACTAATCCTTACAAGTGCCCGTAGTACACATCCTGTGCCAGCCCCGCTTCCCTCTGCCCTTCTTGTTTTTGTTGTTGAAGTCAATATCTCGTTCTGATAAGAAATTATATTCTTCATGATGGTGTTAGGCCCACTGGTGGACAAAGACTTCAGACACTATCTGCCCTGAAGCTAATACAATGTGATTAATAAATCTCATCTATACCCTACTTCAGATGGACCAAGTATGCATCTCATGTGCAAATGTGTCCTCTTCAACTAATACCTAGCTTATGATGGAAAAACATGGGGTAATTGTCACAAGGTTTTGAGTGTCATTTCTGAAGCCTGTGGTGAAACAATGTGTCTGTGTACTATAGAATGCCTGAGACAGGCACATAATTTTGGTTTTTCATTCAACATAAGAGCAAATCACTAGTCAGTTCTTGTATGTCTAAGACATACAACTATATTCTTGTAATGTCTTGTGTTGGACGGTACTTATACACATTTTGAAGCATATATTTAACTTGCTCTAATGCATATTATATTTTCTTACATAGCTTAGCTTGCATTTATGTATATTCAGAACTTGTTCCTGCACTATCAATTGTTTAGTGTGTAGTAATCTTCATGGGATGGGTTTTTGGCAGTTGGGCCTCTGTATGTCATGTATTTGCTAAAAATAGGACTTGCTTTTAGAATTCCAGAAAAAAAATTGAGGAGGCTGTTTTGGAACTGCTAGTGTCTTGCAACCAAGTGCAGCTGTTTAGCTGTCAATCCTAACACGGCCCTCCTCTCCTCTCTTGTATTGGCAATGAAAGCATCTTTAGGTGACCATAATATTTACTTGCCTTTAATGATTGATACCATGGCAGTCTGATTTCTTCTTCACAGATCAATTTAATTACATCTATGTTTATGCTTCAGGAAAGTACCACGTCTGAAAAGAAAGTGATTGTGGCCGTAAAGCAGGGGAACTTGCTAGCAACTGCTTTTCATCCTGAACTGACTGCAGACACTCGATGGTATTCTCTACGTTGCATTGTAAAACATTAAAAAGTCTAAATTATTGTGGTTCTGAACAACTTTTGCTCATGCAGGCATAGTTTCTTCTTGAAGATGGCGAGCGAGGTTGGAGATGAGGCGTCGAGGAGTGCGTCCACATCCCAAGAGGATTTAAGCTTCTACAAGCAACCTAGAAATGATCTTCCCATATTTCAATAGTTGTCAAAGAGATAGCAAATAAGATACGTTGACAGAAATATCTGAAGGTATCGTCCTCACAAATTTGGCTCTCTCCCATCACAAAATAATTGAAGGATTCTCCAATTCGGATATTCAAAAAGCACTTTGAATTTTGAAAATTGAAAATAACCTAAATTTACTGAGGTGGATAGTTTTTCACGATTCAAAGATAATTGGAGGGTCAAATTATTTTTTGGATTGAAGCAGAGCCAGTCCTGATCGTCACATTTCTTTTTCTTTCCCCTCCTCCACTCCTACCAATTTCTTTTTGTATTTTGTAGAATCCTTGAAGGTGTTCAATGCCTTCTCGATCTTGGTCTGTACTTGATGAAAATTCTCAAGGTTGGTGGGTTAGTTTTGAAGCAAATCTCCATTGCTGTTGACTAGGTGGTGTGTATAATGTTGGAAGCTATTTATTTTTTATTTTCTGGAATTTTCTTTGAGCTTGTTGAATTATATTATTGGTTGTTAAGTTGGAACCTACGCATATATTCAAGGACTGCCAATTTTGCATATGCTGTTCCATGCTTCATAAGAAAAATCCTCTCACATCATGCGTTTATCAGTTCAGAATGTATACCATGAAAATATGCAATTCCATTATATATTCATTATTATATCATAGAACATCATAAACACCAAGTCAATTATCGTTTACGTTACGTTTATTCTCAAATTTTTATTATATAAAATAATATATAATTATAAATTTGTATACCCGTAATCAATTAATAAATATTTTATATGTGCTACATGTTTCGTTAGTATTATAATTTGGGATCGTATATTTTGTTGATCTCGATTGTAAAATTCACCCCGTTTTGAATTGATATATTCAGATCACGGATTGTTTCGTGAATTCTGGTAACAGTGATTCAAATCCCCAATAATGGTCTTCTAAGCTAAGTAGAGAGAATTTGGATGTTGAGTATGTTGTTCCTCTTTGTTTCCTAATATAAAGGACTCCCGGAAAAATAGGGTTCCTGCTCCGACTGTTACACCGTTAACACGGATTGCAAAATCTGCTGTTTATTGTTTCAAAGGTGTTGGACTAGGGATGTAGATCCACGGTTTATTTATAATTCGAAAATATCATAAAAAAAAAAAACTTTATTATTTTTGAGTTTATCGCTCTAATGTTTTTGAATGTTTTGGCAATGCTCCATTCAATTGCTGTGTTGATTCATGACTCAGTCTCAAGTGAGTGTGAGTACAAATTTGGAAGCATGCTTTTTTAGTTACTTTATCACGCTCCTCGATGCCCAAAGTAGGCATTTCTAAAGGTTGTAAAACTATATATTTTTTTCTTTTTTTATATTGCGATCAAGGGTGTGGGGCTCACGCTCATTTCAAATTAATTTTTTTATCAGTCTAATTAAAAGTAGACCATCTACATCAGGATTAAAAAATTTATGAGGGATAAATCTCTCATAATCTGACTCCAAAAGATGTGTCAAGTTTTGAACTCATAACGCAAATTTACAACTTACCTTTGTCTCCACTGAGCTACCTCTTGGGGTTTAAAACTGCATATTTTTAGCTGTGTTTTCTTTTTTTTTATTGAAGGATACGCAAGCAAGATATCTCTAAGACACTTTTTCTTTTTTGGGTATCAAATTATTTCTAGTTTCTTTGAGCATTGGCCAATCAAGATTCTTATTCCATTACACACTTACTTGGGGACAATGCTTTGCATATTTATCCCGAAGAGGCCAAAGCTATAGTGTAGAATTTCCTCATGCACATGAAGCTTCTACCACTAAACTCTTTGCCACTCCTACACATGGATCGCCAAATGTATCAATCGACACTCCAAGGCTGCAACTACTTGATCCAATGCAAGCCTGTCAAATTTTTGCATTTGTAAGCGAAAACCAGTATATTTCTAGATCAAAAAGAACTCAATCGAAAGAGTCAGCCAGATCAAACCTGCTGTACGATGGAAAGAGCTCTGGTGCTGCTGCATCGACCATGACTAAAACTTCCACATGCCCCTAGAGGAGTTCCAAAGCTCGCAAACTTGATAGAAGAAATGACCTGAGTCGGGATAGGGCATTCGAGTGATAGTGTGGGTCCTGATTTGCTTCCTGTGTTTTGGTCTGAGGTCCACATGTCCACAGGAATTGGGTGAGACTCAGACACTCTGGAGCACAAACTTTGCACCTGTCTGGTGGCAAAAGATATCTGCGTCGGATCCCCTCCCATTTCCTCAAACAGTACGAGAATGTTCCCAGTTGGTTGCAACCAAGACCGAGGTACATGGTACCTGCAGGATCAACAGTATCAAAACCAAAATTATCATCACAATAGTTCCATATTTTAGCAAAAGTTCCAGTACTTACAGCAGCTGAGATGGTTTCCCACAATTCTTGAGGCATTTGTTTGAATTGTAAGGTCCTCTATAATTGCAAGAGTCGGTGCATCCACCATTCGGTGCGTTATAAGTTGGCCAATAACGCCCAATGCTTTGTCCATTCACCCATGCTTCACCCTTGCCCAGGCCTGTGAAGTCTAGCGCAACTGGATCATTGCCGGTGGGGGTGTCAAAAGTTGTCTGGGTCAACAGGTATTGCTTACGTTGTGTTAGAGCATCTCCAACCATGACTTAAATTTAGACTCAAATTTGAGTAAAAAACTTGATTTGGTATAGAGTACTCCAATGGGCAAATTCAAATATCTACTCAAATCTTTTAAAAAATTTCCTTATTATCTCAAAACTTATTTTTTTGTGTCATTCAAATCATAATATTTGATAAAAATGAAACTTTCATCTCTCCACAAATGCATAATTAAAAAAAATGAATATATATATAACATTGTATGAAAATAAAGAAACTACCCCAGAATTCTACGATTATTCTAATCACTTATCATTTTTTGTACTACCGATAGTGTTTAACTCGAAAAAATCAAAGAAAAATTTGATGGGTAAACTTAGAGTTTATATAATATGAAAGATGGGTGAGATTAGAGTTTTAAAAATACAAGAAATTAAGAAGATGAAATATGAAAAGCAAAAAACTTACCTACAGGCGTTCAAATGATTTGTAAAAGTTTCGGTGGTAGTTGACGATGGAAGCAGTGTCGTAGAGAAAGGCAAGAAAAGACAGAGAACAAGTAGTCAAAAGAAGTCTTTTAGTTTTAGATAGGTTAAAAAGTTACCGTTAGAAATTTGATATAAAATTTGAGTCTGCTTCAATTTGGGTCTAAAATAAGTATTGCCTTGATTTGGTATGGGTTTTGGTCTAAGGTTGGAGAAGTTTTTTAGGCTATTTTGACTCAAATTTAAATTTGAGTCTACATTTGAGTCAAGGTTGGAGATGCTCTTAGTACTAAAGATTTGAATACAATTATACAAACCATCCCAGGAACTGTCTTAAAATTTATGATGGGTAATTCAGCCTGTTATTTTTTCCTAGAGGCTTAATTCAGCCTTACTGGAGTCAAAAACGTGCAACAGGGAATGCATGTCACTAGAAATTACAAACTGTGCAAAACTTCCATGACATTCAACTTATGACATTTTGCAGTCTCTACTATTGCGGGTTTGTTTGTGTGTGTTTGCGCGAGAGACAACATTTGGGTAAGTTAAACACATGAACATAGAGGGGTAAGCAATGATATACCAGTGCTTCATTGGCCTTCATCAAGGACAAATGTCTCGAGTTATTTTATTTTTTTTGGTCCCCATCATTCGATTATATGTAAAAGCATTGATTACACCACTTGATAGTTCTATTGTCGACATTGCTCATCACCATTTAATTTCTTAATTGCTTGAATTCTAACTCAAATAGTAAAAATTTGACATTACCTTGTACCATATCAATGGTTGCTGCTTAGGCAAATTAGACTGTGATAACCAAAGTGAGGAGCTTCCTTTAGGCAGACCCAATGCTTCCCCTTTAAGTCCAACCTGCATTCATAGAGAATACTATGAGAGGGAGGAAAGCCGGATAACTGCAATTACGTTATACTTGTAATCCTATGAAAGAAAATTACATCTCACGCCATCATTCTCTATCAATTAGAATCAATAATGGAGAATTTTGCTTTCTTATTTACAAAGCCTGTATCATTTGCAGGAGAAAATAGTTGTGAAATTTAAATATGGTAGTTTTCCATATGTGATGTAGTCACAAATTTCTCGTTAATGATACCACTTCTTAACTGTATATCAACTTATTGTAAAACCAACTTGACCTGGTACGTCCATTGCTTTGACGAGAGGTCAATAGTAGAGTTGTTTTTTGAGCCTTTGAGCTGCACTGGACCGGTGATCCCAGCACCCGATAAATCATAGAATGCGCCATAATTCTGCAGACAGTAATAGGATTGCATTACACATAATAGATATACTTGGTGACATTCTGATGGCCAAAACTTGTTCAGCAATACATAACAAATTACTCATGTTGAAAGTTTGAAACAGCCGTCCAACACTTTCCAAGAAAAAGAAACAATCAAGCAAAGAATATAATGAAGATCAAGAAAGACGAACCTGAAGTCCCACAGTCAAACTTAAGAGATCGATTCTGTTTTTTCCAGGTATGAGTGTGACAGGAACCTCAATGGTAACCTTGGGATTGTTGTAACTGCCTTTTCCACTCCCTACAAAGTATACAAGGATTAGCTTTTTAGTGACAGCAATGAATATATAGTAAGGTGCCATCATAAATTCATATATTTTGTTGTTCCATTCCCCACTAAGAAACCAAACTCCAGATTGGATTATCCTATAAATTACAACATTTTTACCAATATAAGCAAAAGCTAATACCTAAATTTATCATGTTTTGGCCGCAATTCATGCACCCGGTGTCCTTGCATAAACCATGCTTTATTTTCCTATAACACATCTAAACATCTCAAGGGATTAAAGAGCAAATTTAAGAAAGTAAAGGAATCAAAGTTCCAACTAGAATTGGTGATTGTGCCTCTAATAGTATTTAAAAACTTATTTTGTTTTTATTTTTCTCCTGTTAATAACTGCAATCAGCAGTTGATGACTCCTAATAACGAGATGAGTATTGATGACTAGAGTCAGATTTTCCATTTGACAGTATCTTTCTTGGTTTCAATATTAAAATAATTTTTCAGTGGTGTTACTTTCATAGTAAAGAGTGTAGGAGAGACACAGGGAAGTGCTCGGAAAAAAGACGAAAAAAAGGAACATTTAGAGCAGCAGATTAAACAGAAAGGAAATGTATTCTAGAAAGAGAATAGCGACATCCCAGAAAATAATTCCCTTGCAACATCATTTATATCCATCATCACCTGCAAGCTTCCCATTAATAAATCCGTAAATGGCATGGCCAAGTGATTCCACATGAAGAACTGTTTGAGATCCACCTTGAAGGAAAGGCTCATCACCTGTAATGTCAGTGCTGCCACAACACACAAGTTAACAGGAAAACCTTTCGAATATTGAAAACATAAGAAGGGAGAAAGAGGAGAAATTGATGTACTATTGATACCTAAGTGAATACCACAGATAGTCACTTATATCGGCTGTAGTATTTATTTGCTCCAACAATCCAAGTTTATTGAATGCACTGTTACTGGAGATACCCACTGGTTCATTAACCCAACTCCAATCATCCGGGAATGCTTCAGAGCTGATGCCATCTTTCAAAGATAGAGTGGAGAATCGTGGAATCGTCGTCATGGAATTTATCTGTCGAAGGAAAGTTACAGAATAGTTTATGTTACAATCCACATGTAGGAAAAAGATAAGATTTTTTGAAGTTTTTTTATTGAAATAGAAAAACAGTTCAATTTAGCATCATCCCAAAAGAAATTAAGAACAACATATATGCAACAACCGGGAATGCTTCAGAAATCAATATAATGCTAGTCATAAACTTGGAATCCATGTGTTCCACCACAAAAACATATCAGAGCCTGATGAGAAACATAGCAGATACAGAGAAGCTGCCAAGGAAATCAGGGAGTTTATTTATATTTTGTAACTAGGGTAAATGAGGTCAGAGCGGGTCAGACGAAGTAACTCTCAACATGGTTTACCAAGTTTATTTCTTTAGTCTTCACTAATGTAAAGTAGTCTCTTCTTGCATCAAACGTGTAGAATTTGAATTTATGGTATTAGGATTACATTTTGGCCAGCCCAGTCTATTCCATCCACTCAATGATAGACACGCCCAATCAACAAGTTTAAGCTGAACAAGCCTGAGTTTGATAAGTGAGCTGACATAAGCTGAGTAAATAATGATCATGTTCATAGCAACATATATTGGTCATTGCCCAGTTTGGTGGCATTATTCAGGCAATTATGATTTGAACCAGAGAAATGAACAACTAAACCATTTCAGATCCATGCATTTATCGTGACTGGGAGTTTATAACTATTAATGTTTATGCATGAAACTAAGGAAAAAGGATATAATATAAGGTTTATTTAAATTGCATTATCATCATAACCATGTATGCAGTCGGAAATTTGCAAATGACTATGATTGCATGAACACAAAAGATCTGAGATATCTAGAACAACATTTTACTCGCATATGTACCACAGGATCCAATATTCCATTTCAGTCTAATGAAGAGAAACCCTGGGCTGACCTAGAGCATTCTCATGAGATATTGAACACAGGATCCAACATGGAAAACTTTGCAATGGCTAAAGAGGATAGCAAATTAATAGATATAAATCAAGCATGGTAACTTATTTTGGTAGGATGTGGGACTAGCAATGTTATCTGATGCACAAATTTGTATGTGAGTATCAAGGAATTATCAGTAGTTATGAGACCAGAAGCTAAGTAAGCTGACATCATGAAGGTGACGTCTGATATCAAAGAATATGACTTCTTACACTAGAAAAGTTGAAGGTGCTGAGATCCAGTTCCCATCTGATATAGTCAGAGTAAGTGCAAGTGCCAGTACCACCTCATAGAAACTCTTAGAAACACAAGACTTTCCCCCACCACCTTTAAGAAGATTGTTTCTTTACCACATAAGGTCCCCAAAAAGAACCTCAAAAACATGTTCTGGTGCCGTTTATTATGAAGTGGGAGTTATGTCGGCAGTCAATGTAACAAATTGAATTCCATTACCCTCCTCCTCCAAAAGCTTATACTTTTAGAGAGCTGGTAAGTAAAATGTCACTGGAGAAGAAAGGTGACAGGGTAGTTGATTATCTTGTTGCCCTTGTTTTTAGTAGCTTGAGCTTTTAGAGCAGTTAGTTGCTATTACCACTAATCTCTAAGATCTACAGAAAGACATCCCATTGTGAATGGCCCTTGTCTGTAGTAGCTTGAGCTTTTAGAGCAGCCAGTTAATAATATCTACAGAAAGACATCCTAATATGAATGGGGATGGATCTAGAAATTGGGCCCTGCGGGGGCAAATTGTTAGAACAAAACTTGGAGTAAACTCTTGATTGTGTAGTTTAATTAGCCAAAAAACACCATGTAACACTAATGGAATTTCCAAACCATAGGAGAAGTAGCTCCCTTCCGGTCCCGTAGATCCATCATCGATAATGAACAATCTTAACATTCTTGTTTTTAATGAAAAGGCAAACTAACTTACAATAACGATGCTGTAAGTTACTAAAAAGAAGTATATGATATAGAAGGGTCTGCACACAAAGTCCTAGCACAGTAGCATTGTGAAGCGAAAATATAGCTCAACTACAACAGAGACAACACAGGCCGATGAGGCAAACCTTTGCAGTATTAAGCACTACGTTCTTGCAGTCAGGTAAGATGCTCACAGACCATGCAGGCAAGCGATATGAATTGCCGCTAAAATTCACAGTTGCATCCGATTGGGTACCAAAGTTGGCAAGAAAAGCAGAGCATAACCCTGATCCAGTTTTGTAAACACCGGCCTGAAACAGACAAGAATCCATGCTCAGCACAATCATGATAGTACAGTGAATACTCACATGCATTAGTAGGGAAAGAAATAAACTACGCCTCACTTCCCGGTGATTTAATTATCATTCAGGAAATGTTGAGAAGCATGACAAAATGCAATTTCAAGCACATTTATTTGAAAACCAAAATACTACATAAGCAGAGGCCAGAGGGTGCAACTTGTTACTCATGGAATGTTGGGACGGGTAGTGTGATCGTGCAGTGAAGGCAAAACCCCAGGTAAATTTATCATACAAATCGAGATCATAGATGAACAAGCACATTCAATGGTCAAAACAAATTAAAACTTCAAAGTTCCAAGAAGGGCTTATGAAAGGAGGAAGAATGTGAATATGATATCAGGTGAGATATGCCAGGAAGTTGCCTATTCCAGTCTTTATTAGTGGTTTATGCACAACCAAAGATATTTATACAGAACCAGCGCAAGTATAGTTTTCTTAGTTGTTGAGCTGTCTACAAGTTAACTGCCAGTGTTTATAGAAAAGTGCATATGCATTAGTCAATCAATTATAATGAGTAGTATCTGAGGTAGGACTTATGTGCAGTTTATGCATGGGCGCATTCAAGTTATAAAAGCAAAAGGCTGGCAGTTGCAATCTCCTAGAGAAAAATCCATCTCAACAACCCTAAATATACATTAACATGGAATCGAGGTGACGCTTTCTAACAAGATAATGAATTGGCTACTGCTTCTTTGTCAAGAAGAAGAAATTAGCATCCCTGTTCCTTTGGTATTTGATCAAATAAAATATAATTCCAGTATACCTCTAAATTTGAGCCTAAAGAAGTTATTGTTGGATCAGTTGCTAACATTGCCTCTTCACAAAGCTTTATGGCCTTATGAACATCTTTTAGGTGGCCCCACTTCGGTTGTCTAAGAAGTCCTGCAACACAAGAAAAATGTCAAATCCTTTCAAATATACAACGCTTAATACCGATATAAAGACTTCTCTTTATTGATTGATATTATAGGGGATGGTAATCATTGGTTTATGCAACTTGAGTGAAAATTAATGACTGGGAGTTGCATCTGTGTATCAATTTTTTTTTTCTTTTATGTTATTTTTGGGGGAGGGGGATGGGGAGGGGGGTTTGGACCCTTGACTTTAAGAAGACAACTCCTTCATAAGGCAAGGAGTATCATTGAACCAAAGGGCCATTGGTTGCATCTGTGTATCATAGATATGAATTTTAAAGCTTCAAGAAGTGAAAAAAGTCAAGTAAGGGGTAGATGGACAAAGCATACCATACTCATCAATTGGAGCATCATAATCATAGCTTGTAGAAATGAAAGGTCCACCACTAGTCCGGTCAAAGTTAGTTCCACCATGGTACTGCTAAAAGGCAACCAAAACATATCCAATATATGACTTACACATTCTTGTCAGTTCAGGGTATATTAACAAGTGAAAAAGTAAGGAACTGGTAAGACAAACAAAACTGAACAGATACAGGACCATATAGTAATTCTGAAAGGTTCCCCCTCGCTGGAAAAAACGTGCTACAGCAAAAGCAATGTCTTCCACAGGTCTATAGGGGACAGCACCCCCAAATGCAAGGAACCTAATATTCCATGTAGTGGGAAGGGTTACAAATATTGAAGCAGTCAGGATAAAAAAGCAAATACATACAATCAAAACAATTAAAACATCTCGAGGGAATAAGTAGCCAAATACTTTACCATCCCGTCCAATTCTCAGTCCACATTTTTGGTTTCTTATCAGAATTTGGGGTGAATTGGTCGCAGTAAAACCCATTGCAAGTGTTAATCTACAGTAGTTTAAAAGCAGAAAATGTAACTTAATTCACCAAAGATTATGAAGCATCAAAGTTAGGTTTTGTTGTTAACTACCATACTCACAGGAAGCATAAACTCACCAATGGATCAGGAGCATCTGCTTGCTGGCACATCACCCAGGGCACCCCTGTATCCAAAGAAGTTGCCATGGTTGCTGCCCACTTGATATAAGTTTTGCCAGCTGGCCCATATGCTGAATCAATGTTCCCATACTCGTTCTCAATCTGGCATTCCAAATTAACTAGTAACCTCCCATTACACTCATCCATGACAAGAAAATGATGGTATAGAACAACTAATACAAAATCTTGTTCTACCAGTTGATTACCATGAACCCCTAAAGAACACAAGAAATAAACCTGAGATAAGATAATGGGTCCGCCTTGGGATGCATAGAGATTTTCTTGCTTCATCATGTCCACAATCTTGGCCGTGAATCGTTTCATTTCTGCCTAAAAGTGAAACAGAAAGCTAAATTACAAATATGGAACCAGCAACTTATAAATTTAAATCCATAAATGAGTAAGAGGGAAGTACCTTGAATGGCTCATTATCAGTTCGAAACTTAATTCCGGACACAAAATGCAACCAAAGAGGAAATCCTCTGTTCAAAAATAAGAATTAAAACATACTAAGCTACACAAAAGATAGAATGAGGTAACATTTAAATCCTTCATTTCTATAAAATTTAAGAATAAATTTATGGTAAAAGCATATAAATTTACCCATAGTTCCACTCAGCACAGACGTAAGGACCAATCCGCAGATGAACGTAAAGACCAGCTTCAGCCACCAGTTTCACAAATTTAACCAAATCATTTCTGCCTTCAAAATCATACTGCAGAATATATTGGCATATCAGGAGTGAGTTAGTGATATTCTATCCTTGACTTCAATTCGTATAATTAACTTCAAGATTGGTAAGCTGTAGAAAACAGAGCAATAATTAAATTATTGCTCCGTTTGGATTGCTAAGAAAAGAAAGAGCAATCAATTCAACATAGCTGAAATTGCAAATACAAACGATTAATTCAATTAATGCTCCATTTAATTTTTGAGAAAACCAATTGGCATTTGAAACGTAGGTAGTCACTTAATTTACTTGTTTTGGGGTGGTTAAAGTACTTGATATTTGGCGTAGTTTCAGTACCAAGTTCTTGATAGTTTTGGAAACTCCAAAATCAAGGAACACAAAAATAAGAACTACATTTCTTTCCATTTTCTCAGCAACCAAACAAGGCTGGATAACATTGAAATTAAGAGTAAATTTAGAAACGTGAAGCGGAAACCTGGTTTCGAGCTGGTTCATGCAAGTTCCAGAAAACGTAAGTCTCGATTACATCTAAACCTCCGTCTTTCGATTTCTGAATAAGGTCCGGCCACATCTGCACCAATACACACCCACAAAAGAACAGTTAGAGAGAAAGTGAATGCATACAACTCTGAGAGAGAGAGAGAGAGAGAGAGAGAGAGAGAGAGAGAGAGTTTTCCAGTCCTACGTCGGGAGTGCTGCGAGGATAGTGAATAGAGCCGGAAATCAAGAGTTTCCGCTGGCCGTCGATAACCAACGCCCGATGATCGTACGTCACATTGGCGGGAAACGACGTCGTAGCAAGAACTCCGACCACCAAAACCAAAACAATCAGAATTTCAGTTTCTCTCATGTTCGCAACAGCTTCCAGCTCCCTCCTTTGAACTCTTGTTTTTTGCTTTAAGCACAGTGTTTTTATAAAACATTTTCTTGAAACATTCCCATCGCTGTTGCTTCGGCTTGTTTTGATGCTTTTTTTGTTTTCTGATTGTTGCTTACCCGCTTTGTAAAAACAGATTATGAAGGAAGGGAATCAAAATGTAGGACAGAGAGGAAAGCTATCCTACGCCGGAGACGACACGCCACCTCTTGCCTAGTTGGTTACGTGGTATCGCCGTCGTTTTCTTCCACTTCTTCTGGTATTAATGGAGGGAGTTCGTTCTTATTCATCAACTCTGTGCTCGTCCCTTTCGTTTGGAAGATAGTGAGTTTGTTGATGTCGATATTGGGAGAGAGAGAGAGTGTAGAGACACGAGTGCAGAGACAGGTGTGGTGTTGGTTTACTCGTGCCGCGTATTAATGGGATCACAAAAACTGCACTTCTCCGAGGTTTTTAACTACAATTCTTTTTTTTTTTAATGAAAAATCATATATAACTCAAATTTATAATTCAAATTTGTATCAGAAATTAAGAGACCATTAGATGAGTGAAACTTATCAACTTTTTTAAATGAGACTCACTGATCTAATGGTCTTTCTTCATTTGAGATGTAAATTTGAATTACAAATTTTAGTTATGCTCATTTTTTGTTGCTTGTGATTTTAACTGTAATTTATCTCAAATGGTACTATATGCAAAAAATTAGTGGTTGTCAATTTTTTTCATTAAATATTATTTAAATGTGTGGGTGTGAATTTTTTGTTAAATATTACTCACTAAAGGTATAAATATTGTCTATAAATGTAATAAGTAATAACATTAACTTAAAAGAGTTGTAAACTCATCTCAAAAGATTATAAACTCACTTCATATTTAGAGATGGTTCTTTTACCTTTAGTGTTTGTAACATAATCTTAAATATTTATAATTTTATATCTAAAGATAGTAATTTTACCAGAAATAGTTATAATCTCGCATCAAAAAAGTTGTAATCCAACATCTAAATGTGGTAATTTTATCTATATAGAATATAATTTACCCTCAAATAATTATAACCTCACTTTCAAAGATAGTAATTTTACTTTTAATTGTTGTAATCTTATTTAAAGAGTTTGTACCTCACTTTTAAAGGTGATAACTTTATCTCAAAAGTAATAACTTTGTCTTTGTAAGTAGTAACATTACATTTAATAGTCATGATCGATCATGATTAATTAAAATCGATCTCAATGCCAAATTATTTTATTTTATTTTTTGCGATTCCACTCAATTAGGATCAATCATGACTATATGAGATCGATCATAATATATTTGATGGTCCAAAAATTATACCAAACTAAATTTATGGTAGTTCCAATTAAATAAAATCGATCATGACTAACCCATTTTTTTTTTTGAATCTCGAGGTAAAACTACCATCTCTAGATTTGGGGTGAGCTTACAATATTTACAATATTTTGCGGTGAGTTTACAACTCTTTAATTAATATTATTACATTTATAGGCAAAGATATTACATTTAGCGAATAATATTTATTAAAAAAAAATTCAAAGCCACACATTTGAGTAATATTTAATAAAAAAAAATTGACAATCCCATATTTTTAGTGGTACGGTACGGCTTCCCCACCTCCAGACACAATAATGTATTGTTTATCCTATCAAAAATAGTACAGACATCCTCATCACATAGCAATTCTCCATGGTAGCAGTTCTGTCGAGGATTGTGCAACCTACAAAAATAGAAAAAAAATATTAGAGCTAAGGATAATACTATATGATATTGATGATACATATTATATTTACAATTTTATAATTATTTGATAATATTATGTGATAATAATGATATTATTTTTCTGTTATACCCAATATTTATTCTAAAAATACCTATAGAAGACTATGGTACGGGTTGGTATCTTATCAAAATTTATAATTTTTTTAAAATTAAGTTATATTTTTTTGAGTTAAAAGTTACAATTGAAAAAATAATGAAATTTATAATTTTTTAAGATTAATTTGTATTTTTTAAAGGTAAAATTACAACTAATTAGTGGTATTCATTATTTATCATGAAGTTATTTCAAACAATTGTAATTCTCGTTTAAAATTTGTAACTTAGTTCTCAGGAAATAAAAACTTTTACTGATTTGTTTTTTTTTTTTTTTGGGTATAATAGAATTACCCAAATACCCATGTCTTTAGACTTGATTTTTTTGTTTTGAATGAATTGAGTCCCCTCGTCTTAATAAATGGCAATGAGGAAGGGGCGTTTATTCCTGGGTTCTTGTCTTGATAGGCGAATTTTAGAGTTTAGCCTATCAGTATCTAGTGCTTCCCCGTGAACTTTAATCATGATGACTTTGAGTATTACGAGAGTTCAAACAGTCCATGATTTTTCCACTAACGTGCGTGTTCACACGGACAAATTATTTACTGGAGACGAAGATAGATGGATTCAACTAGATTAAATTATGACTGAAAACAGTACATATTATCATTTAGAAACGTTTAAAATTGTTCAATTTCAATTTTTATAAATTAATCTTAATTAATCATGATTTAATTCAAATAGTTTTTGATATTTGATATGATACCGTTTACATCAAAATAAGTAAAATATGAGAAAAGAGGTAGATTATAATCAAACCAACTAGAAAGTCGGAAACATTCTTAGGCGATTAAAGCTATTGTCTATAAATACGAAGGGAATGAATCAGAAAAGAAATCTCAGCTTTAACAATTCAAGCAAGCATGAACGAGTAAATTTTATGATTTCACGCCAATCTAAATAGATAAAATTATAGTATTTAAAGTTACAAAACATAATCAATCTTTAACAAGCTCACAATTAAAAAAATACGACAAATAAATACTTGAAAAGTACTAGAGGGTGGGTGAAGCACTCAAGAGAATGTCGGTGTGGACATAATCGTGAAGCATTTTGGTAGTGCATAAGCTTACTAATTCCACTATTACCCACTCCCCATTGCCTGCCTGCCTGCCCGCCAGCCAAAAAGGATCTACTAAGGTGATACCAAAATCTTATAACATATAAATATTAGATTATTCTTCATAATAATTTGTCCTATGATTGAACACTAATGTTAAAAAAAAATGGATATGATTATGGTGTAGCCATCAAGTCCAAGGCCGTGGTGGTCGCGTTCAACGTGTCGTCGGGTAAGGTAATTGTCGGTGCCATTTGCTGTCATTTTCCAATCTCAATTATTTTTGGTGGTGGTGGTGGTAAGTTGGTGTGAAATGTAGTTTGCATGACTGGCGGTCATTAACTTGTGAAATCAATCCCATGACCTAAAATTGCAAATTTTCAAATGGACCCTCTTTTTTTTTTTGTTTGTTATGGTGTAGTTTCATCATTCAAATCATGGGCTTTCGTGAAAGTCCATGTGCATGAGTCGGCAAAGTCTTGGCGGTAATGTATCAAAAATTATAATTTTTTAAAATTTTATAACCCATAAATGATATGATCAATTATAAAAATTATTATTTTTAAAAGTTAATTTATATTTATAAAAAAATAAATTTTTATAATTTCACCCAAATTATTACCGACGATTTTCTTGTGAAAGTGAGTCATGCCAGCAAAGTATAGAGACTGAAGAGGAAGAACATGCATTATTGACTTGTACTGCATGAGAGTTGTCCTCCTCTTTTGGGGCGGTGGGTCAGGCAGAAGTGACCCACCCAAAAATTATGCCCTCCAGGCAGAAGATTTCATATCCGACTTAAATGCAATTCCAGTCACCTACCTCTTTGATGGCTCTATGTCATAATAACTCTCTGGAGCCAGGACTTCCAGAAGTCTAAAGTAGGCAAGACAATTGTGCACCCTGCAATTGATGCTGCCCCACCCACGACGGATCCGGCTCCTTTGCTGTTCATCAAAACGGTACTGTATGGCGTGGTTTTTTTAAAAATCAATCACACCCAAACTGCTAGCCCAAAAAAACCAATAACTTTTGGCCGACCCAAACCGTTGAAAGTATCAGTCATGCTCAGTTAACTTTTGGTATCAATCGGTGTTGTAGCAAAATTTATATTTTTTTAAAATTAAAAATAATAAATAAAAAAAAGTATGACTGGTCTTAAAAAATTATGATCGATCATAAAAATAAATTTAAAACTAATTAGGGATATTCATGATTATAATATTTTATGATCAATCATCGATTTATTTCAAGTAATTATAATTTTAAAAATAAAAGATATAACATAGATTTAAAAAATAATAATTTTTGATACGATATTAAAAAAAAATGCTATAGAATTACCCCTTTGATTACAATTTAGACCGTTAACTCTGACTTGATCTTTTTTTTTTTTGTTGGTATCAAATATTTGGCAAATCGGATGTGTGCAAAATAAATTAATAAAAATTTAATTTAGAACAATCGATAAATGAGATTTACATTCTCGACCATTTTTATCATTTGCAAATATACTAATCAAATATAAATAATCACCAATTCATATATTTATGAAAAGTGTGAATAGATAATTAAAAGCTATAAAATTTATCTTATCTTTATTTTTATGATCGATCATAATTTTGTAAGACCAATCATACTTTATTTATTTATTATTTTTACTTTAATTTAAATTTAAAAAATTATAAATTTTGGAACAACACCAATTGATACCAAAAGTTAACTGAGCATGACTGATACCTTTTAACGGTTTGGGTCAGCCAAAAGTTATGGGTTTTTTTTGGGCTAGCAGTTTGGGTCTGATTGGTTTTTTAAAAATTTTGATGAACAGCAAGGGCTGCTGTTCCTCACGAACAGCGGAGGAGCCGGATCCCACCCACAACTTGGGTTAATAGTCAAACAGGTTCGAATTAAATTTAAAAAGTTTGTTTTTTTAACTGAGCCTAAAAAATTATTTAAATTTAGTTCATTTTTTAAACAAAATGAGTCAGAACGAGCCCAAAATAAGCCGAACTCGAATATTTACACAAACGAGTTGAATTCGAACCAAGTCTGTCGGACTTATTTCTCAAACAAAGTTAAAAAATTGTTCAAAAAATTAGTCAAACTTAAACGAATAAAAAACGAGTCAAACCCAAACCAAACTAAAATAGTTCAATTTGATTAATAATCCTACCCAAAAACTAAATTCCAACAGAGCATTTAGATCCATCCAATACAATTCTCTCGTATCATGAATTTATGAAAGATGTTTTATTATATAGATGTATATCCACTTCTTACTAACATGCATATAATAGGATTCCGAAAAATACTATGTTCCACGTCAGTGAAACTTCAGCCAATTACTCTGCTAGATATGGGTAAGAGTAAGATCATTAATCCAAATTCTCTTTATTGTATTTGTACTTAATAGAAGATCATTCACCGTGTA